CTTCTTCCAGAAGACGGGGTTGTAGGATGTCAAACGGAAATTGATGAGGAAATAGAGACACAGTAGTGACCAAGGATCGATACTCTGGACCCAAGCCGGCCAAAATTGATTCAAGAAGTTCTTTATCCGAGACAGGGGAATTAATTGCAGCAAGGGGATCTACTATATTCTTGATTTCTCGTAAATAAAGTTCCATAGATTGATTTTCTTTCTTTTTGATAGTGGATAACAACCGTTTAAGTTCCATGCAACGTGGTAGACTAGCAGACATGAAACGAGTCTGAAGTCTAGACCAAATTGCAGCAGAATGTTTTAAGTCATGAACATCAACTAAAACATCCCGTGTTAAAGTAGCAAACAACCAACAACGAATTGTTTGATCTACTCGTAACCAATAATAATATTCGGAATTTGGAACTTGACGGTTAGCAAAATCAATGGTATGCATAGGAGGTACCTCAATTGAGCCATCAACAATACCAAATAAGCCTTGAGAAACCAAGAAGGATTCGAACTGAGTGCGCCAAGTGAGATAATCTTCCACCGCCTTTAACTTGATTGTAACAATTTGAGAGACCGTGGTAATATGCGACACGGACTGAGCAAGGGCCGACATAGGAGAACCAATACCAGTGTGGTCAGGCGGCCGAATGATGCCTGTGGTTCCGGAGAACGTCGAGCCAAAAAACGGAGAAGATGGCGGCGGTGTTGGAGAAGCCGGTATAGAAGGCCGAAAAAGAGGTGGCTGACCCGGGAAGTGAGGTGGCATCGACTGGAAGAGGCTGTAGGGTTCAGCCATAGAGTAGAGAGGCGGCGGTGGAAAATTTGTAAAAAGAGTTGAGGAAGAGGGTATAGATGCCGTCGGTATGGGTGAGGTGGGAAAGTGGACTGCCGGCGCCGTGGTGATGACGGCCGCGACGGACGATTCCACGGTGGTCGAAGCCACTGCTGCGGCCGAAGTCATGGGGGAACTCATGAGGCGGCCGAAAAATTTGAGAGAGAAGGGGAGATTAGGTTAGGCTCGTGATACCATGTGAGAATAATGGGAAAGCCGTACTCCAATAGGAGCCCTGGCAGGTATATTTATAATAAAAGGAAGTTTCCAAAATACATAATTATTCCTAATTAATATAAACTATTAGTAGTCACGGACGTTAGTCACGGATTTCGTCCGTGACTAGCCTAGTCACGGGCTAGTCACGGTCTAGTCACGGATTTTTAAAAAAAAATTTAGTCACAGATTTATCCGTGACTAAATCCGTGACTAATAAATTCCGTGACTAAAGTCCCCCGGTTGCCTCAGCTCCACCGCCGGCAAGTCGATTTGTACTCCGGCAACTTAGTCACGGATTTATCCGTGACTAGTCAGAGAAATTAAATTTCCATCCGCCAACATTTAGTTTGCAACGGTAACATGTACGAATTAATGTAGTCACGGACTTGTCCGTGACTAAGTCCGTGACTAAAAAACAAATAATAATATTCCCACACGTAATGCACGCGTAAATCACACGGAATGGCTTAGTCACGGAAAATCCGTGACTAAGTCCGTGACTAGGTTTTTATATATATGCACGCCCAGCTCATTCAACAGAACTACACTAAATCATTCCCAGTATATATAATACAGTATTTGTATGAAATATCGAAGGATGTAGTCCATCTTATGTCATTTCACCTGTTTATGCAGATAAGGTATGTTATTTGAATTCTTTTTATTTAGAATTAGTTGATTCAATTTAAATAAGTGAACTTGTTGTTAATTAATTAATAGTATATTTAGTAAATACATTTATATATAAACGTATTTATCTCATAAAATTAGTAACAAATTTAGGTTCGCAAAATAATTTAATTAAACGTAGTTTTAATTAAATTAAGTTAGCTAAGTGTAGTTTTAAACGTAGTGATGCATTAATAAGTTAAATTAAGTAAAATTAATTACATAGCTAAATGTAGGTTTTAAATTATACAGTTAAATTAATTAGTTAAGTTAGCTAGTCTAGCTTTTGATAATATTAGTTGAATTTATATATTACTTAATTGTAATGTGTTAATTAATTAATTAAATGAATTAATTAAACGTAGGATTAATTTAAATGTACTGTTAAATTTCTTAATTATTGAATCCGTGAATTAGTTAAATTTAAGTATTAGTTAATTCAAATGGGTGTATATATATATATATATGCTCAAATTATTAGATTTTATTATTAGCAAAGAATGTTAATGCTTAAATTGGGATTTGTAATGGGTTGAGTTTTGATTAAAACATTACTTAGATTTTGTGAATTGTTATTGTGAATTATTTCAAGTTCATTTAGTTTAGAATTGTTTAATTTAGTTTTGTGAATTTTAGTGCATTATTTATAATTTAAGTGTTGTGAATTTCATTAAATTTAGTAAATTGTTTATTGTGTATTATTAATAGGATTTTGAAAATATTTGTATTGTCAATTAATGTGATTCACGTATTGTTTGTAGTTTAATAATATTCATTGGACGTTAGTTAATTTTAGTGAAATTTAGTGAAATTTAATAAATAAATGTTCCTAAACATATCAAATTATTATTGTCACAAAATGTTAATAATTTAGTATATTTAGTGTACGTAGTTGAATATAAAATTGAACTTTAGTAAAATTGAATATATTAATGCATGCTCCTACGTATGAATTGGTGAAAATATTTAACATAACAAATTGGTGATAATTTTTGTGATTTAAAGTTTTTAACCTATATATTTTTTATTGTTATAATATTCAGGCATAATGTATAGGCAAAATAGAAGTTGGATGTATGATAAAAATGCGATCCTGTACGGACTGCAGTCAAATTTCCTTGAGGGTTGTGGGGAGTTTATTAAATTTGCACTTGAACACCCGGATTATATGAGTGGTGACAAAATCAGATGTCCATGTTCAAAGTGTAAAAATCTAAAATTTAAAGACCCAGAGGATGTTGGGTGGGATTTGTACGCGGATGGTTTCGTTCCCAATTATTATAATTGGACTTGTCATGGCGAACCTTTTGATCCATCTCTCGCTCCACGAACGGTTGGTTCGTCTCGTAATGTCCCTAGCGAGATGAGTGGGTGGGGAGATCGTGATCAAATGAAGTGGGACCAAAGAATGGTATATGATGCTTACGGTCCATCGATGTCTGAGTTCAACCCCCCACAACCATCTAACGATCCTCCTGAAGCTTCGACATCGTATCAAGCAGATGCGGATCAAAATCCGATATTTTATCAACCTTATGTGGATGAAAGTTTAGCTGAGAGATTCCAAGATGTTTTAAAAGCTGCCGATCAGCCTCTGTATGCTGATTGTGAGGGACACTCTCAACTATCCGCCGTTACAGAGTTTATGAACATAAAAGCTGAATACAATCTCCCAGAAACTTGCATGTCTAGAGTATTGCAGTCAGTAGGAGGAATGCTACCGCGTGATCATAGTCTCCCCGATTCATACTACGAGATGAAGCAATTAATATCTAAATTGGGGTTGCCTTGTATAGAAATTGATGCGTGCCCTCGAGGCTGTAAGTTGTTCTGGAAGGATGATGAGGCACTTGATATCTGCAAGTTCTGTGGTGTAGACAGATACAAATCCGTTCCTCAAAGATGAAATAAACCACGATACAGGTCTGCATTTTCTAAACTTTTTTACCTCCCAATAGCTCCCCGACTGAAGAGGATGTACGCTTCGACTGCTACCGCGAAACACATGACATGGCATGTCGAGCACGAAACTAAAGAGGGTATGATGTCTCACCCTTCCGACTGTGAAGCTTGGAGACACTTTGACCGTTGTCATCCTCAGTTTGCAATGGAGCCACGGAATGTGCGACTCGGGCTTTGTTCAGATGGATTTGCTCCGTTTGGAAGGTTTGGGAAAAACTATTCATGTTGGCCGGTCATGTTAACCCCTTACAATCTCCCTCCCGACATGTGCATGAAAAGTCATTTCATCTTTTTGACTTTAATTTGTCCGGGTCCCAAGGATCCAGGGAAAAAGATAGACATTTATCTCCAACCCCTTATTGAGGAGATGAAAGAACTATGGACCATTGGGACACGAACTTATGATATTTCAAGAGATCAAATGTTTACCATGAAAGCTGCCATCATTTGGACCATTAGCGACTTCCCTGCCTATGGTATGCTTTCAGGATGGAGCACACATGGTCTCATGGGATGTCCGATATGCATGGAGAAGTCAGGTGCGAATTGGCTGACTTAAAGTAAAAAACCAAGTTACTTTGATTGTCACCGCAAGTTTCTACCGGAAAACCACCGATATCGCAAGGACAAAAAGTCTTTCATTAGAGGTAGAGTGGTACGAGACGCCCCACCCCCGGTATTGTCTGGTGAAGAAATTTTTATCCGGGTTCGACGTATTCCTACGGTTGTGCAAGAGCCAAATCAGGAGCCATATGGGTATTGTGACACCCATAAGTGGACAAAGAGGAGTATATTTTGGGAGTTACCATATTGGAAAGACCTGCTCATTCGTCACAATATAGATGTCATGCACACTGAGAAGAACGTCTTTGACAATATCTTTAACACAGTGATGGATTTCAAAGCAAAAACGAAAGACGGGCTTGCATCTAGAAAAGACATGACATTGTGGTGTGATCGAACTGAGCTTTCTGTTGATCTAGAACAAACTACAAATGAAATCCCTAAAGCAGTCTACCAAGTCACAGAAGAACAAAGGAGATCAATATTAAAGTGGCTTGTATCTCTGAAATTTCCAGATGGCTACTGCTCCAACCTGTCCAGATGCGTGGACATTAACAAACAGACCACAACGTCGAGCATGAAAACTCACGATGCTCATGTGATCATGCAAAGACTTTTGCCCATTGCACTGAAAGAAATGCTGCCTGAACACGTATGGTCATGTATTACTGAAATAAGTCTGTTGTTTCAGTCAATATGTTCCAGCGTTTTGGATGCAGCGTCCCTCCGGAGACTAGAAGAGTCTGTTCCTGTTCTGATGTGTAACTTGGAAAAAATTATGCCTCCATCGTTTTTCGATGTAATGGAACATCTGATTGTACATCTTCCGTACGAGGCTCTGACTGCTGGGCCCATCTTCTATCGTTGGATGTACAGATTTGAAAGGTTAGTCACAATTTCATTTATCTTTGAATGTTTATTTCATAAGAACATTTGTTTGTTTACAATTATTATTTAACATTGCAGATTTCTAGGAGAGTTGAAAAAGAAAGTGACCAACAAGGCACACGTTCAGGCTTCAATTTGTCAAGCTTATATTCAACAAGAAATCTCAACGTTCTCATCTTTTTATTTTGAGCGTGAAGTCATAACTAGAAGAAAGAGACCTGCCCGGAACGATGACATTGGCGAGGATTTATATGAAAATGTGGTTTCCATTTTCAATTACCCAGGCAGAGGTAGAGGAGCTTCGACTCGCCATTACATCTTGGGTGAAGAATTAAAAATTGCACATACTTACATCCTCATGAATTGTCCAGAAATCATACCATTTTACAAGTAAGTTAAGTTGGTAGTTAAATTTGCAATATATCTAGCTACAAGGTAGTTAATTTATGATATTTTCATGTTTGACTTCACAGTGAATTTAGAGCTTCTTTATCGGAACTTCCTGATAATGAAATTGATGGATTGGTGGACTCTCACTTCGCAACATGGTACAAATATCAAGTATATAGATATCAACAGACATTATATATATCTTTAAGTAATATTTTTTAATCATTACCTAATGTTATCATACTTTTATTTACAGATCGATAGCCGTGGGATTGTCGACCCTCTATTAGCATGGTTCTAAAAATCGCTCTAGGCACCCGATTAGTCCCCGCCTAGGCGCTAGGCGGTACTCGGGCGCCCCGATTTTAGTCTAGGCGCTCCGACTAATTGAATTGGCGCCTAGGTGAATTAGTCGGCCGCCTAAGGCGCCTAACTACCCGCCTAGAGCGCTTAATCGGCCGCCTAGTCATATAGATTCATCGAACATTTTATTTTGCTTTTTATTTTAGTATTCTAAGAGATATATGTATCTTTAACTATAACAATGCATATGAAGAAAACCACTAGTTGTTGATTAATATAAATACTATACATGCTTTTATATATGTATTCTTAAGTGTTATTATTATTTATTAATAATTATTACGTAATACTATGTATTACTTGAAGTTAAGAAGTAAGTATGTATAATATGTTATTAAATGTGAAAACTCTTATCATTCATGCATGCTAGTGTGTGAATGTGTGTTTTTATATTTTATATACACATAAACACAACATTATTAATCATGTTTATGCAAAAATATTAATAAAACTATAATTTCTATGTTCCGATTAATCCCCGCCTAGGCGCTAGGCGCTGTGTTGGCGCCCGACTAACGCCTAGCGCCTTTTAGAACATTGTCTATTAGTATCGTTAGCGTGGGGCCCTGGGGCAAGTGTCAAAGTTTGGCGGTCCTATGTCATAAACGGTTACACCTATCACACAGTCGATTATGGACAGGACCGACCAACAATGAACAGCGGGTTATGCGTCCCAACCATTGGTTATGATAACTCGGAAACCAATTTTTTTGGTTACTTGCATGAGATCCTTGAACTGCAAATGCCTTCTGCTACGACAACATTGGCATGTGTATTGTTCCGCTGCAAATGGGTCGATCCCACACGTGGTGTGAGAAAAACTTCAAAGTATAATATGATTGATGTCAACCACTCTCGCGTGTACAGGAAAAATGAGCCGTTCATACTCGCTCAACAAGCAGCGCAGGTTTATTATGCAGAATACCCTTCAACCAGGCGGACACAGAATCCTTGGGTGTGTGTATGTACTGTCCGTCCGAGCAAAATTGTATCACAAACTCAACACAAGGACGTTGATTTGGATGCTTTTCAGCAACAATTTTTCCAACCTCCGCCTATTGTTGAGACGGTCAACCATCACATTCAGTTAAGTGATCCAAATGGCGGACGTGTTGAAGTCATGCCAGAAACACACCTGGAGGATCTAACAAGTCCATCTGAGCGCGACATTGTTGAAATGTATGAAGCACAACAAAACGTTCAATATCATAAAGAAGGGGAATGGATAGACGGTTCTGATACTGAAGAAGAGACTGTATATGTAGATGAAAATAACGATTCTGACAGCGAGTAATTGTGTTGTTGTAATGAATATTTGTGCTCTTTTCGTCATTAATGTATTAATCCAAGAATATTTGATTTTTTTTCTTCATCATTATTATTCATTTGTTTAAAAATTACTCCATATTAATTCAACAGCAACAACTTTTTTATATCCATATTATAAATGTGTATTCTTTTATATCCATAATTCAAAAATTACTCCATACTCTCAAAAATTCGAAAATCAATTTTAAAAATTCTAAATATACAAACTTATCAAAATTCGAATATGCATAAGTTAGCCATAAGCTGAGTAAATTAGCCATAAACAACTAACTCAAATTTTTTTATCAAATTTAACAGATAAGTACGAAACATACAATTTATTTATCACAATAACCTAACTAACATTATTAATTTATCATAAGCAAACAAACAAATACAGAATTATTCATCAATGTTAAAACTTTCAAGAGGCCTAGCCCACAACTCGTTAATTTTTCTTCGAGCTTCTTCGTTGATCGGGTCCATATACTCCGAACATTCTTGTGCACGTTGAAGCATCGGACACAAGTTGTTTGCTCTTGTCTTGCTGAGTGAGTCGGATTCATTGTCTTTATAGTCGCCAAAACTTTCAAGGGGTCTACACATCAACTCCTTGATTCTCTCGTATGCTTCAACGGTTTTCGGCTCCATAAGTTGTGTAATTAGCTTAAGTCGTTTCATACCTCTAGCCATAGAATCCCAGTCAATTGGTCCTCGATTAGCCATTTAATTTGCACACAAACATGCAGCCGAGCGGAATATTTATATAAAAAAAAATAGTCACGGAATAGTCACGGACTAGTCCGTGACTAAAAGAATTTATGCCCTGTCGCCGGCCTGCCCGAGGGCCTGACGCGCCGGTCAGAATACAGAGTTGTCACGGCCAAATCCGTGACTAAGGCCGTGACTAATTCAAAATTTTGAATTAGTCACGGACTTAGTCACGGATTTGGCCGTGAATAAGCCGGTCAAAAGTCGGCCCTGACGCATCGACTGCCGCGGTCTGAATGCGTTGAATACGAATAGCTTAGTCACGGACAAATCCGTGACTAAGTCCGTGACTACGCATTCATATAAAATAGACCCTTAGCAATTTTTTCATTCCATTCGAACCCTAACCTCTCTTCTCTCTTCTCTCCCTTCGACCTCCCCTCCCTACATCATCTTCTCCACTCGTCCGCTGGTCCGGATAGTCTAGCAGCACCGCCGCCACCGTTCCAGTACCGCCACCGTGCAATCGCCGTCACCCTGCTGCCGCCGCCTCCAACGACGTCGGTCTTCCCCTTCCGCCGCCATCAAGGTTATGTTTTCTACTTCTATATTTTCGTATTTCAATAATTAATTACATTTTTTTTAAAATTTTTAAAACATGCATGTTGAATACTCAAATTAGTTGGTTCTATTTTTAAATAATGCATGTCGACTTTAAATGTTTTAAATGTTCAATTATGCATGCTTTAAATGTTCAATTATTTAAATAATTCATGCTTTATTTGTTAAATTTTAATATGTAAGCTTTATTTGAATGCATATTTTTTTTTCGGACTTATTCTTTGAATTTTGCATGCTCTATTTGTTAGAATTATTTGAATTATGCATGCTATGTCCTAATATATTGTTTGAAATTTGTTGAAATTTTATGAATTATGCTTACTATGTCCTAATATATTATTTACATGATTACGATTATTATTATGTTTTTATCTATCTAATTTATTCGGTCGAATTATTTAAAAAAAAAGCCCCTCATGTTAAACTTTCACAAAAGTTTAACATGTTAATTATAAAACATTAATTAAGAAGTTAAAACAGTTTAAAGTATATAAAATTTAAAAACGGTTTTTAAATAAATGATAAAAAATTAAAGTTATGTACGGGTATGAAAATTGTTTTTGAAGTAGTTTTTTATTTTTCGAAATTATAATAATTTAAGTGTTGAGGTTATAATTAAAATAATATATTATACTGTTTTTTCAAGTTGAGGTTAAGTGTATAAAACTGTTTTTTAGGACATTTTAAGGATTATTATTATATCATCTATCCAAATTATTAGTCCCGGTTTATTTAAAAAAATTGCCCCTCATGTTATACTTCCCAAAAAGTTTAACATGTTAAATAAAAACGTATTACAAAACAGTTTATTAAAAGTGTTTAACAAAACTGTTTAATAAAAATTTATTAAAAAACAGTTTATTAAAACTGTTTAACAAAAACTATTTAATAAAAATGTATTAAAAACAGTTTAACAAAATGTGGTTAAAATATAAACTTTAGAAACTATTTATATAAAAACTGTTTAAAACATAACTTTAGAAATTTTAGAAACTGATTAAAAACTGTTTATATAAACTGTTTTTATATAACAAAAACAGTTTATCAAAACTGTTTAACAAAATATATCTAATTTATAAAACTGTTTATAAACTATGTCCTAATATATTATTTACATGATTAGGATTATAAAGAAGTTTTTATCTATTTAATTTATTGTGTCGAATTATTTAAAAAAAATGCCCCTCATGTTAAACTCAAATAACTATTTATATAAAACTTGTTTATATATATATATATATATAACGATTTGTATAAAACTTTTTTATATAAAATTGTTTTTATATAAAAATATGTTTTTATGTAAAACTGTTTTTATATAAAACAGTTTTATATAAAACTGTTTTTATATAAAATTGTTTATATAAATCTATTTATATATATATAACTGTTTGTATAAAAGTGTTTTATATAAATCTGTTCATATAAAACTGTCTTTTTATATAACTGTTTTTATGTAAAATTGTTTGTATATAAAACTGTTTATATATAACTATATATATGTATAACTGTTTTTATAAAACTGTGTTATATAAATCTGTTTTTATATAAAACTATTTTAATAAAACAGTTTGTATATAAAACTCTTTTTATATAAAAATGTTTTTATGTAAAAGTGTTATTATATAAAACTGTTTGTATATATAACTATTTTTATTGAAAACTGTTTTTATATAAAACTGTTTTTAGAGTTAACTGTTTTTATATAAACTATAAAAACTTTTGTTATATAAAAAAAGTATAACAGTATTTTAGACAGGAATAAAAGTTTATAAAAGTATAACTGTAAAAGTATATCAGTATTTTAGCCTCAAAACTACTTTTTAAATGATAAAAAGTTGAATTATTATTTACTACGTTTAGTAAATGGAAAATGATTTGTACAACTTCCTTATAAATTGTTTTATAAAGACTGTTTTATTAAAAACTCATATATCTAAAACATAAAAATTAATCATGTCCTCCCATGTAAACTTTGCAAAAAGTTTAACATGTTACATCTAAGAGCAATTTTTTTATAATTTATGAAAAATTTATTGACAAAATATGGGCATTTCATATTAAAGTTTCATACATTTTAATATGTTAGTACATGTCTTGAGAGAGCCCATCTACCGTGTTGAAGCCGTAGCGTGAAGAATTGACAGGTTGGAGTTTTTTAATGAGTTTACTTGGTCGGTTCATTGATAAGCTCCAACCTGTCGATTCTTCGCGCTACGGCTTCGGCGCGGTTGATGGGCTCTCTCGTGCACATGTACTGACATAAATGTTTATTAGCATTTTTTAGACCTCTCATATTAAACTTATACACAGTTTAATATGTTATACACATTTTCAATTGCTAAGGCGTTTAAAAAAATTGATCTTCTACTATAATCACATTAACATTTAAATATATGAATTAATATATTTAGATGAGCAATGAACAATCTACCTCTCGTGCCCGCCCAAACTATGCGCCCTTGTCAGAAGCAGAGCGCAACAATGAAAATGTTCCTTGGATAACCCCTCACATGGTTGCACAGTAAGTAACTATGAATTTTATCTAATCTATAATAATTTTTTCAAAACTTCTATAAATAAATATTATTAATTTTTTG